GGGGGGGGTTGGTCTATTTAGTTTGTGTGAGTTTTAATGAGTCTGCTGACACTGCTGAAATGATAACATGGTTTTGTCAAGCCGATACTTTTGCTGTCTTTGTGTCGGTGGTTGGAGGGCACCCTTGATAGGTCCTACTTCTTTACTTTCCCCCTGTTGTTTCCATCTGTTTGTCTGTCTTACTTTTTCCCAGCACTAAATGACGATTATTGTGTCGGTGTGCTTCTCTTTACTCAAACAAACAAACCAACAATCTGTCTTTGTTGTACAGGTTCCCCCAGTTTATCCTCAACAAGTTGTCTACCCTGTCGGTGCGAGAAGACGCCAGACTGCTTCAGTGCCAGTGCCTCATCTACCTGAACTGTCTGATGAAGATGTTTGTTATGAAGCACCAGCAGATCAGACTCAAGGGTAGGTAGTAAGCCTGGTCGTATTATTCGCTCTGCTTAACAATAATAATGCCATGTATGTGAAATTCGCAAAATTGTAACGGTTTAATTGCCCCCCTTCAACCTTGTGGCGTTATTTAAGAGGCGGGACCTCCAAAATTAACAGCTGGTGGTTGGGGGGACGCTACTGGTAGGTCCTACTTCTTTACTTTTCCTCTGTTGTTTCTGTCTGTCTGTCTTACTGTTTCCCAGCACTCACTGACCATTAGTGTGTCGGTGTGCTTCTCTTTACTCCAAAAAAAAAAAAATTAACATCTGTCTCTGGTAGGACAGAGTCAAATGGGTGGAGAGCCGTAAAAAAAACTCGCCAAAATAACCCAAGTTAAGAACGCCCCATTAGGAATTCTAACCAGGCACATCCACTCCATAGTCCAGAATGATACCGACTGAGCTAACTGCGCACTTCGTAATACCTTGAGCAAGCCAGGAAGAGTAAAAGGTAAGAGAAAAGAAAACAGCTTACCTGAAAAAAAGAGGCAAGTAGATCTAGATACTCACAGGTCATTGTCAGTACACAAAAACTCACACACACAGTCAACTGAATGTAAGCTCAAATTCTGAGAGTAAAAGCATGTCACATTGCTCCAGTTAGAGATGACAATGCCATAAGCGTACTCCCTCCCTCCCCTACCAGTGAAGTGCCGCTCTTTTTACAACACAACCTCTCTGGCTGGCTGAAGTTGGCATCCTTTCTTCTTTGTGTTTACTGTATCATAATCTGTTTAGCTCTCTTTGATACTGATTTGGGGCGAGGGGGGAGGGGTGTCAGGTCTTGCAAGTAATGTTCTCGTATGCAATACATATATATATTACTCCTGCTGTTCGTGTGTGGGTGGTTGGTGGGTGCTCTGGTGTGGTTTGCTCCTTCTTTCCTTTCAAACGCCTATCGTCCTGATCTCTCCTCCTTTTTTATGTTTGTTACTCTCTTGTAACTCATCTATGATAGCCGAGCTGTGACCCACAACTTTACCTCTTTTTGTTTCTCATTTGATTTTTGATTTTTTTTCGCCTTTTCAGATCCTCTCCCGTCAGATTGGAAATTTCCCATCAAGAAACATATTTTGAACCAATTTACTCTGGAGACTGTTGAGAATGGCCGAAAGAGAAGGTAACTCAATATGTCTGTTGTGTGAGATTTTATTCCCTTTATAATAATAATGATAATTGCGTTTATATAACGCATGTCTACACGCTACAGAATGCTACATGTGCTTTATAATAAATTGAATAACTATTAATTCCCTAACAGACTGTAGAACACTCAGAAACATTCTCGGCCTCTCAGGAAGCATACAGTGTTTGCAGCCACTCAATTAAATGCTCAAACACTAACAAACTGACAAGATCTTATGTGTCTATTGCCGGGTACTTGTTTTCACCTGGGTAAACAGGAAAATTCATGTGAAGTGCTTTTTATGGACCAACTTCAGGCCCCTTTCAGTTACAAGTCTAACAGCGTAACCACTAGACCACACAATCACTCAATAATGTTGGCTATTTCTTTCAGTTTGTTGGGTTGGGGGGGG